TTCCTCGATTCCCTCAACATCGAGTTCAACTGCTTCGGAAATGCTTCCTCCGCCTCCACCTCCTAACAAGAAATATACGAAAGAAAATTTCGATTTTCAATCACTTGTACTGAGTGACAGTGACGACGAAACAAACTTTGCTCGTGCTCCTAGAGTTCCGCAGCCTCAAAAGTCATCTCATATTGGCTCAGTTTCTGGTGAACATGAACATTCTGCCAAGAAAGGAAAGTTCACTGATGAACCTTCAAGTGGAGACAAACAAGCCGCTAAATCTGGAGAAAAAGAAGCGCCCAAGAAACCCTTTGCTGGACCGATTGACCCGAACTCTTTACAGATTACTCCATTCCATAAGATAAGTTGTACTCGGCGATTAAGCCAAACTCCTCAGAGTCAATCCCCTGATACCGAAATCATATTCCCTCCTTATTATACTTTTCCTCCAGCTACTCCTACATATCCTGAACGTTATCCAAAACCTTCAGATTATCCCTTTGAGCATAATGAGTACCCTGAACCATTACCTACAGCTCCACTTCCCCCTTGGTTAACAAACGAACGCTTCTTTGAAATTAGAGATATATTTGAGAAAAAGGCTCAAACCTTTATCGATATTAAAAACAAGTTTAATCAAATGATTAGGGAAAAACTTTTCCTAAACTTTTATTCAGACGAGAAAATTAAAACCATTGAGTTACCTGAGATTCCTCATGGTATTACTAAGGCTCAAATAACTAATCCTAATTTCAATGAAATTGAACATCTCATTCGATGTTTCTTTTGTGAACAAATTGCGCTTGAACCGCGTGAATGTCGTTCATGTAAGAATTGTTACTGCTACGCCTGCATTAATTGGTTAAGAAATCTAGTCGCTATTCTTAGCCTTTTCCCTCTTCATCATCCTCACCAATTCCTGTGTATTTTACCTCAGTGTGTAAAATATTATGCACCTAAAGACGACTATCCTTTTTATCAACCCCTTTCAAACCAAGAAACCCTTCAAAATTATAATTCCTCAACTTTCAAATGCCGACGCACCCAATGTAGTGAATCTCTTTCACCTGAACATTTTCTCATGCACGAATCTAAGTGTAGATCGGGCCTCTTTATCGAGGAATTTGACTTCAAAATAGATTTGCCATTCGTCTCTAATCCTATTAGAGAAGAGTTAAATAATGCTCCAAAGAGTATGGCTAACTTTTTACCCTCTCATCTTAAATCAGATGAAGTAGCTATACCCGAGAATCAGAAAGCCCACGAAAACCAGTGGTATGAGAAAATGGCTCTATGGGCCTTTTTAAATAACATGAAAGAAAATGACCCTAAAGATCCTTTGCTTCAACCAGCAGCTATCCGTTCAATAGCAAACTTTTCTCTTAACTTTTGGGAATCTTATAAAAGAAATAAGGACCCAACTCATCCTTTAAGTGAAGCAGAAGAATTTATCCAACATATAGTTGGATTTGAACCCATTTTAGGAAACAAGGTAGATCCCTCACTCGCTAGACCCCGCACTATCCGATGGTCTAATGTACCATTTTACCTCCTCTCTGACTCTGAGGAATGGGTACAAGTCGCTCGAGGACTACCTCCGAGACACAACCCTCATTATCCTAAGCCAATCTCTGAAGATTCAAATGCAAAAACTCGCCCTGCACCTTTTATAAGAATTGATCCTTTGGAACGAGTTTCTCCTGAAAGACAGGAACAAATCTTAAAGAATGTTCAATTCTATTTTCCATCTATGCGCTCAATCAGACGACACCCAGTCATCATTACTACTACTAATCCTGATAGACTCCGTAACCGACTTAATAAAAATGAAGTCGCTACTCGTGAATTCAACAACCTCACCACTATTCAAATGCCAAAGCTCAAACCTCGAACTGAGCAATTAGTTGTTGAAAATATGGCTCTCCATCCTTCACTCGAAACTACTTTTTGTATACACATGGCCTATTGCCGGATCGAAGGAATGGCTGCTAAGTACAACAGAGAGGCTCTTCGACCTCGACCTGTTTGGGTAGTGATAGTCGACGGCTATCGTAATATAGTATTTGAAAGTCTCATCCATCATGATGACATTAAATTCATGGACACACAGTTCCATGGGTTAACACAACGAGACCTCCGACATGCAAAATCATTCTTATCTGTCAAAGAACAGATACTAACTTTCTTTTTGGTTGCTACTGCCATAGTCGGATCTGGACTCATTAATATGATGCGTGCTTTAGAGTTAAATGATTTTGAAATTTTAACTATTCAACATAAATTCCGAGAGATAACACAATTTTTCTCTCCCTACCGAGAATCTCCAGCTTCCCTTTCACTCGTTTCGTTTCTGGTCTTTCCCACTTTCATTCTTCGCCCTGACGCTCACTCTCCTGCTGTCGAGGCTATAACTGGAATAAATTTATATTTGGCATTCTGGCAACAAATTGAAGAAATGGCACAACGCAGAAATGGCATCCATCACGGCAACATGGTTCATACTTGCGGAAACCGCAATGTTTCAAGACTCCTTCAAATTTATACTGAACGAGTTAGAGCAAATCAAGCTCGATGGCCAATCGACTGGGCCTACGTTCTCAGAAAGAATTCAGATCCTGAATACAATGGTCGATGTGTAACTCCTGCATCTCAACCCTCATCAAGATATGGTAATCCTGAAAATGACGAGGATGACATTGTTTCAGTTCATTCAGTCTCTGCATCTGAACGTGATGATCTTCCATCACCTCCACCTTACATTCCGCCTGCTCCATCAAACTCTCCACGTCTTGAACCTGACTGTCCCCTCATTGATTTAACTTCCGATGATCCTGAATCACAAGTTCCTCACCGAATCCCTCCTGCTACTCAATCTCCAAATTCAAAACAGATTCCTCCTTCAGCCTCTAATGAACCTCAACCTCAGCCTTCAACTTCAACATCTGAGCCTAAATCAAATCAAGTTGCACCCTCGCCATCGCCTTCCAAGAAATCAAGCCGACGCGATAAGTATAAGGGGAAACCCTCACAAAAAGCTGATATTAGCTTGTCGCCAGTACCTGAAGAAATCAAAACTCAAACTGTTCCTATTGCTGAAAGAGCAACATCTCCACTCAGTCCATATCATCCTCAAGAAATGCAGTCAATTGCAATTCAAACCTCTCCAGTTCATGATTTCCCTGAGCCAGAACCAGAGGAAATTGATCTTCCTCCTCCTCCGATAGAACCAGAAAATAATGACTTTCCTCCTCCGATGATTGAAATTTACTCGCCTTCTGAAAGCGTCTATTCATTCATTGCCAATCTTAATAGACCTACTCCTCCAGGCTCCGATTCATCTCATTCAACTTATGATACAAATTTCTCTGACATTCCCGACACAGGCTCTCAAGAATCTTTAACCTCATTGACTGATAATTGCTCTGAGTTCTTAGGAACTCCTTCTGAACAATCTTCCGCCTCTTCTTCCACTTCTTCCTCTTCTCATCATCCCTACGACAGACCAATACTTCCACAACTCAGAACATATCCAGGACAATTCATAATGCGCTATCGACTTCCTCCTAGTCCTTTTGCTCGCCCTGCTGTTCATCAATATTACTCAGACACTTCAAACATTTCCTCAAGCTCTCAAAGATCCATGACGTCCACAGCCTCTTCTGAATCTTCCAACGCCACTATTATTCATAGACCAGAGATTCAAGGACCCTCTCAAGTTCGGACTCACATCTTCTATCCAACCCGATCTCTCTCTTCATCTCAAGATTCAAGTCCCTCAAGAAACCCATAAACCCAATTTTCCTAAGGGATCAAGGTCTTCAATCCGGGGAAAATGTAGGGTAGGAAACTGAACTTAGGAAATTTGTTCAATGCCTTTCTCTCAACTTGAAATCGTTAGATTCATTTATATTTAATCATTAATTTTAATTCATTTTAATTTCATTTTATTGTATTCCCTAAATTGCTCTAACAATATGGAAGCCTCTCTGTCTCTAACCATGAAATTCAATATCTTAGGATATATTAATTAAGGTGTAAAAGTGCAGATAAATAAGTCTAATCTTAGTTGTTAGTTGACCACAAGATCCAACTAATTTTACCACAAAATTAAGAAGCATAAAATTGGTGCCATAAAGAAAGAGACTGAAAAATCACTCTCTTTTTATTCCCTTTTTTAACCTCTGATTACTTTTACCCCTTAATCTGGTTTATACTAAAAAGGCTATCTCCATCTCTCTTGAGATATGGTTTAACCCAATGATGTCTTTAGACATGTATAAGGTTGAAAGACGCCATAGCTTTGGTAACGCTAAAGAGTGTTGAAATCACCTTAGTCATACGAGTATGGTACGATCACCAATTTACCAGACATTTACAGACAGAGAAGTCTTTTCACTTTCTTAATTATTTCCCTCCAAATTTTCTCTTTTGTTTTAAGATTCACATAAATAGAACCCCATATTCATTCTGTTTTTCACTTCTCTACACTCCTTTACTGTTCATCTTTAATTTGTGTCATTGAAGTCCCCCTTCCTTAATTTCATACAAATTCTCATTGTATTCAGCCATTTACCTCTCTTATGAAGTTAACCAAATTCAGGCTATTCTTATAATTGTTCAAAACTCATTAAAGTTATATATTCCTAAATACTTTAGTATTATATTTTGTGTCTTCATCTCTTTTGAGATATTCTCGAAACGCGGAAAAGTTAAGTTAATCAGTGAACTATTGGTGATCCTGTATACGAACTCTAAAATTAGTAGTGAAAGCTAATTGTGCAGTCTTTGAATCAGAAGCCTACCATAAAGAAACCTTTCACTGCGATGTTTTGTCTTGTTAGGAATCATTTGATACAGAATAGAAAAATTTTTTATAAACATTTATCAACCTTGATATATGAAATGTAACTTTGAGTCTTTAAACAGAACTTGCTTTTGATTCATCGATGAAAATGTTGCTACATTTTAAACGTGAGTTTACTTTAAAAGGTAAACAAAAGTAAACTTACATGAAGATTAACAATTGATTGGAAAAGTTCCAGAAAAATTGAACCAATTCGGTTATTTTGTAGATAAAGTTGCTCCAGATTTTCAAGTCCATCAAAAGCATGTTCATCCAAGTACATTAATGAACCCGAGTTAATCTCAAGTCTTTCAAGGCGCTTTAATCCTCTGAAAACTCCTGGATAAAGTGTTTTAAATCCGTTTGCGGAAAGATTAAGATATTTAAGGTGAGTTAAAGTTGAAAATGGATGATGATAACTTGACCGACCCAGTGAACTAATTGAATTGTGTGAAAGATCAAGTTCAATTAGACTATCAGGATTGGATGGGTTAATGAATGAGGAAAGGTAAAACAAGTTGTTTAACCGATTACCATTCAACCAAAGAGATTGAGTATGTTCTGGCAAATTGAGATCACCTCGAGTATAAGTAGAAAGTTTTAAACCCTTCAACGAACAATCAACCGTTCGAAGCGTTGAATTAACCTTTTGAACCCAATAAAACAGAAAATGGTAAAAGAATTAAAATTTCATCGAAAAAAACGAAACACACAATAACAAGAAACATACCCATTTCGATGGATTAAATGAGCATTTACATTGAACTGGACAAGTTGAGTTATCCCGAGTCCAAGTTGACTGGCATGTGGTTGGATTGAGAAGAAGGAAAAACATTGTAAACAATTCAAAGAAAGAGTAACAATAATATGGATAAAAAGGTTGACCATTGAATGGATATCTTTCAATGAATATCATGATAAAAATTATGAAACAGAGAATCAGCAGAAAATGGAAATTTCACAAAAAAAATCAATTAATACATTCCATTGGTTCCATAAGAATATTCAGAATGGTATAACTTCACATTTCACTGTTTCTCATCTTTATCCTTTCGCTCATCATTTTTGTTGTATACATTTTTTGCTATAAACAACAACAAACTACAACTGACTCACTCTTATCATCCCAGTTGAACATGATACTTGAGCGCATGGGTTGATAGTAAATGATAAAATCGCAACTTGCCAACTGGGAGTGAATTTCATCAACTTCAGAAGCATTTCTGTTTCTCTCGACAATTGACGATAAAAATGAGTCAATTGTTAATTCACAGTTGACAGTTTTGCTGAAATGCAAAATGAAGAATTGATATTTTTGACGAAAAATTATTCTCGATTCTTGATTATTGAAATTTCATTTCATCTTCAGGTTGAACATTTTGTATCATTTCCTTTTCCATGAACCGGAAATTTTTGTCGACAAAAAAGTTGACATTAATCTGACATGAATCTCACAAGTTTCTTTGCTCTTCTCTTTTCCCTTTTCGCCTTTGTTTTTATCAGAATTATCAATTGAATTTCATGCAATTATCAAGTAAAACTGAAAGTGTTGATAAACTGTTTAACCTGTAATTCAGTTAACTCGCAATCTAATTTACAACATTACTTTTGATTATTTGATTAACCGCGAAACAAGTTAAATCAGCTCAGTAACTCTTTCATTTGGCATCCACAAAATTCAATAACAAAAAAGAGATTCGAGAAGGAAAACAGGAGAAGAAGAAGAAAAATTTTCTCTTTTCTGTTCCATTCTGATAATCATAATAATTGGATAAACTTTATTTGAATAAACATGATATCAAAGTTATTACTAAATAACAATGAACAACAGTAAATAATGATTATATTAATAGCTTCAAGTTGTAATAATATTTAGCTCAATGTTTAACTGAAACAGTCAAAGTACTAAACATTAGGCACTTTTATCGCCCAAAGCTCAACTTGCTAAAGTTTATCAAATGAGTTTCTAAAGTTTCCAAAAATTCATTTTCTAATCTCAAAAATGGTTAATTAATTTCGACTCGTTTCTCCATGTAAATCTGATGGAAAGTTGAGGCTGATTCTCTGATCAATCAACATATTTCCTCTCCATCATTATCATGATTATCATCACAATTTCCTCCTTTTTACTGTTTCTTCTTCTGAGACTAAAAATTAGAATAAAAAGTTACAAAAGATTTTTTTCTTTTCTGTTTCATCTGAATTTGCTTCTCATGTCACATTTACTCTCTTCAATGAAACCAATTTTAAGAATTGTAAACTCATTTAAATTAGATGAAAGCTCATGAAAAAAAGAGAAACTTTTCTCTTGTATTTTCCTTTTTTTATATCCATTTCAACTGATACTTTTATCATTGCTTTTTCCTTTCTTCTTCTTCTTCCCTGTCAACCTGATAACTTTTCACTCCCTTTCCATATCAATTCCCATGAGTTGAACTTAATAGCAACAACATTTAGTCAACAATCTTTCAATCTTTTCCTTCTTCTTTCCGCTCATCTTCATTGTCTTTAGTTTACTATCTTTTGATGGTTCAACTCTTTTCTTCAGGAAAACATTCATATGGAAATGTGCCTTTTTTCTAGCCTCAAACTTTCTATTTACTATTAGTACATGGGAAAGTTAATTTCACTTGTTGTAATGTAAATTAGTTGATGAAACAATCGACTAATTGCTTCAACAGTTTCTCTTTATTAGACATTATGATACATTTTTTTGTCATTATAATGAAAGTTAAAGTCTAATCAATTCTTTTGTCGAAACTCTTGGAGTATTAAAAAAGTGACTCAACAAAAAAATGGTGAATCTACTTTGAATTTCGATAAACAATGAAAAAATTTCAACTCTGAATAACTTTTCTCGCTTTAAATTGTAAAATAATTTTCATGCATTCTAATTTTACCAACACTTTTCTCTATAAACTTGAGCTCAAAAATTAAGCTGCGAAATGTTTAATTCTGATAACTTTTTATGTCTTGTTATCTATTTATAAATCATCAAATTAAAGAAAAAAATTCAAGTATAAACCCAGCCACGAAAAATGAGCATCAATTTATAAATCAATTTACTCAGCCATATTCGATAGGAAAACTATGAATCGGTGATTGACATTCTCAATATTCAATGAATGAACAAAACAATGAGAAGGTTGAAGCTGTAATGAAACAAGACACATCTTACATCTCAGCTTGATCAAATTACTAATTTATTGATACATCATCTCAACCTGCGTCGACACAATTAAATATGTTTTCAACTCATTCATCGCTGAACATAAATGCAAAACAGAAGTCAATAAAAAATAAAAAAATGACTCTTCAATTGAAAAGTGCCTTTTCATGTCCATAGTTTTGCCATTTTCAAATGAACCAACAATGTTAGTTGCAATTTTCTGTTGCAAACATTCCAGGTCAACATTGTTTACTTTACAGATAAAGGTAAAGGTTCAACATGAACTGGATTCATTATCTGATTTGATTAATCTGAAAGTTGTGACAATTCAATCTGTTTTACTGACATTTACTTTTGTTCACATTTTTGTCCTTTTTTTCCTTCTCTCTTCATCTTCTCGCTTCAATTGTATTTGCATTGCAGCTCAACGTGACCCCAATGGTAACCTTGATAAACTTGATGCTAAATGATACATCAAACTGATTACATGGTCATCTGATGATTAACCGTGATATATTAACTTCTCACCATTCACTTGTCTTCACCACCTAAGATAGGATAACTTGTCACTTGTGTTGTATTAAGTTAATGTTTGACTTCATGTTGATCATCATATTAGTTATTTGTGCTTCAACTAATTTTTTCCTTCCATCATTATTATCTTTCCATTATCATGGTAATACTGTAGTCAACATGTTGCTGTCAATATCATTGTCAAGCATGTTTACACCTTAACATTGTACCCTTCAACCAAGTTCAACGAATATTGGATTTCAGTGAAATGCATGGAATGAGAAATGAAATATTTCCATTTAATTGTCACCCATTTTTGCTCATCAATTTTATTGCTCTGTTGTTCAACTTTTCCTTCTGTTTCATCGGCATTGAGAGAAACTTGAAAATCTTCTTTCAGTTTATATCGAAATGTTTCAAATCAGTTTTTTACTTTTACACTTTTGATGACAAAAAATGGTTATCAGTTAATTATCATGTAAATGATGTTCTCGTTGGTTATAAATTGTAAATTGTAAATTCATGTCACGATTCGAGTTTTTTTTCTCTTCTTCATTTTCTGTTTTGGATGAAAAGTGCATTTCAAAGTTAATGCTGTTGATTGCAAATGGGAATTGAAAGTTTATTCTGTATCGAGTTTGAAAGTTGTTAATTAACAGACAATAATTAGCCAGCATTTCCAGGGAATCAAAATTTTTCACATTATAATCAAAGTGCATCACTGACCCTGCAGAAGTGAAATTATTGTTCCAAAAATATGATCGTAATTTCACATTCGAATTATTTTGAAATTTTCCTCGAAATTTCATGGAATCCAATTGGAAATAAAGAATTGAATTTTTTGAGATCATTTGAATCGATTTGTATTGAGATTTCCTCATTACTAATTTTACCATTTCCATCATTTGTAAATGCAAATCCAGAACTTTTTTGATTCCATTACCTGAAATGTCAAAATTCATAGTTTCATGTTTCATACCATCAGACATTCAAAGTTTACTCTCAAAGTTTTCAATGAGGTAAAAGTACAATATCGATTCACTGAAAACTGAAAACCAATCTGATGAAAAAATTCAAGGTTTTATCGTCTTTGACCTTTCTTCTTTTGTAAGAGATTTTATTGAAAAAATTTTATTCAGAATTTTCATCGATCTTGCATTTTGATTATTCAATAATCTTGAGATTAGTCAATTTCCGAAGCCAAAATTTCCAAGCATTAATGAGTAAATATTAAGTACATATGGTTGATAGAAATGGATGGTGATTAAGACTCGATTATCCGACTTCAAGTTCAATACCTTTCATGAGTCTGGATTAGAAATAATCCAAACTATGCTTCAGAAGCAAATCAGAATATTTTGGACATTTATTTCTCTATGGGATTCAAGTCATTCCATCAAAACCAGACTTTGAAGAAACACTTATTTGAGCTCAATAATGTTCATAATAAGCTGCGAGAGTTTCTTCATTGTTTCTATTTTCTCACATTTCTGTTCAAAACATACAGAAACTAAGCCTTAAACATAAATCGGACATTCACTTGTTTCCATGAATAACACATCAAATACAAAATAGATCAAAGACTCAACCAAAGTTAAGCATCATTAGATTACACAAATTGACAACAAAGTTTCAATTTGAAATAAACAGACCAAATCATGAAAACTCCGTGAAAAAGACGTAACATTGTGTAGTTTCCGTTATCTCTCAACGATATCATATCACAAAATTCATAGAGAAATGAATATTCAAAATACTCTAAATAGCCTTTTCAATAAAACTTATTCTCATTGAACACTGAACAACTTTTTTTCCCAATTCATACTTATGCAAAGTCGTGTAATCTACTTCTTAACTAGTGTGAACGTTTCTTGAATAGTTTAATGGATCCTGTAAGCATTTTAAAAGTCCAATTGCAAGTCTCAAGTCTAATCAAACATTAACTTGCATTTTAAGTTAATTATTGTTGATAAATGGATAGCAATTGACCGGTTCTTTTTGCATCCATTCCAAGTTATTATTTGTACTCATTGTTGAATCATTCATAGCATCCTCTTCTTTTCTTTCCATTTCCATGATAAATCACAAAAACAGTAGATACACTTTTTTTAATACTAACATTGATAAAATGGGCAAATGGCGTAAAGAAAAAAAAATAGTTATAATGATAATAATAATGCTAATACTAATAGCAACAATAATAATCATAAGAATGGAAGTAACAACAAGAAAAACAAGAAGAGCAACTTGAACCAGAATAACAAATTGCTTCCCTAATGGAACCATCATGAACGTTATTTACCCAGGGAATTATATTTCAGAATTACTCTAATGTTTCCCTTGATATGTTTCCCTGTTTTGCCAGTTTTTCTGGTGCTTTTTGGTCTTTCATTTTACAAGTATATTTATATATTCAGAGAAACAAAAGTTGAAGAAAAAGTTAAGTCATAACTTTCTTGCATTTATCAATTCTCAAGTCAAATGCTCTGAAACTGTC